TTTTAGTGTTCATACATTTTCAAATATTTTATTTTTGAAGTAAGCTATTGTACATATCAAAACAGAAATGACAGATATAAAAGTGAATATATTTTTTTCATTATCAGAGCATACATGATGGTGTTGCCAAGAAAATGATGGTGTTGCCAAGGAAAGTGCTGAATACATTGTGACAAGTGTGATGGAAATCCTGGCCTTGCACTGGATATAAAGATGCTTTTGCTAGAGAATTTACCAGGCAATGACTCAGCATCAGTGGAGATGGGACTGGCCCATCTCCCACTCACTGTAATGTCCCCTACATTTTGACTGCCGTTGAATTTTACTGGATTACTTCACTTTGAAGAAAATCACAGAATAACTATTACCACGAGTATCAGTTTACTGACCAAACATTCATAAGACCTGTAATATGCAAGTCACTGAGTAGAAGGATTATTTTCATTCTACTGTAATTTGTGCAACCATTCAGTGAACATTAAAAAATAAAGACATAGAAAAACAAGGTGCTTTCATTTATCCCTTTCTCACATCAAAAGTAAAATGCAACTCTGTATACAATCTGTTCATAAAATCAATCATTTTAAAAGTTAATGTCATACAAGGAAATAATGTATGTCTGGATGGATTTATAAAAAAAACGTTTATGTGAAGTAATCATCATTTTGATAAAAAAATTCTTATATACATATAAGGACCACGTTGCCTTGAGTCTCTTGGTTCCATCTGCACCATGACTGTTTAGAAATGTGTACTTGTAATTCTCATGTCAAATTCCTGGTTTGTAAGACTGGACTGTACCTTTATTTTTGCTAATTGTTTATGTAACAGCTTGAGGTCTTACTGTCATCCATGATTTTGAGTGCTTGCTTTGCTGCTTAGTATACCTAAAAACAAAACATTGACTATTGGAAAGACTTCAATGCATTTTTTGTGAAATTAATAGCACCCACTATCTGTAATGCTACGCCAGACATAAGAGCACCGAATAGAGCATGGTTATCAAAATTATTTGTTTCAAAATCCAATTTATTATATAATCTTCCCCACAATAAGTACTGATATCCTGTGCTTGTCACAATTCTAGGACTAAACTGCCATGGCAGCATTAAACTTTATAATAAAATGGCATTGCTCCAAGTACTAACATGCATTAGATTGATATTGATGGCAAGGTGTAATGAACATGGTAAAATAAACAGCTATTGTGTGTTTGGATTCTGGGTGTCAGGTACCTACTTTGGCTCTGGCTCTATGTTGGCCTTGAACCTGATGTTGGGGTAGATGTTACCACATGCATATTACCTGGATAAAAAAATATAGGCCTATATACCAGTGTATTATCCTCATTCTCCAGAGATTCCCCATGAAGTCAACTTTTAAAAACGTAAACAGAGAATAAACATTTACTACCAACAGATGCTGCAATTAATGTGCTCGCTTTAAATCTTTTAATTTAAATTAAAATTTGAATAAGGTAAATAGTGAAAGGTTGTTTTTTTTTCTTTTCTTTTTTTGGACTTGAGTATATAACGACGTTAAGTAATTAATAGAAGTCTTTAATAGAAGACTATTTAGCTCAATCCCTGTTTGTACTGACTGCTCTAAAGAATAATAAACTTTTCTGCGTACAGCAGGTATAACAGGGGCGGATCCAGAGATATAGGTCTATTCTGACAGAAATATTACATATACCCGCCAATGAAAACTTGAAAATCTAACCGTCTTCCGGAAGAACCAGAAGACGCCCTAAATCCGCCTCCTAAATATGTTCTCAATGAAAGAGTCGAACGTGATAAGAGATCGAAATAACCTACCCGTATCCGGCAGAATTTTGTCAGTTTCTCGCTTGTCAGTTTTATTTCCTACTTCTGCTTTGTCTACCTCACCGGCCTGCCAATGAAAATAACATCCTCTGCTTCTGCATTTCCCGTTTTATTTCCTTTTTCATTTTCATTGTTATTCCTCTCTCTTTCAACTCACGTGTGCTCGGACTACCCTCCATCTTGGTTTGCAGTGACATCCGGGTCTTCTCCAGAGCGTAGTAAACAGTAGTATTCAGTCATATACAAATTGAGGCAAGTCCCAGAATTCCACGCGTAGGGGAGTAATGTCGAGAAGTTTAGACGAAAAAAAAAAATGCTGCGCTTTTTTTCTTTAAGTGATCTTAAAAACCTATACCTCGACCTTTATTTTCTCAACGGTTTCGTGTGAGACATGCTTTGGGGTTCAGGATCAAATAGGCAAAGTTTCAGAGAAAGGCCTATTTAAGCGTCTACAGCGGAAAGACATCCTTTAAGAATAAATGATATCGACCCCCTCTATTAATTCGGCAATTGAACAAAACCCATCTGCAGGACTTGTAAACCTTAACAACTGTAAAAAAATCTCATACCTCCATCAAATCATTGTAATAAAAATGAACTTTACCAATATGTATGTCTTAGTCTTCGAATCATATCTTTATTAATATTGATAATATTATAGTGAAGAATAACGATGGTCTGGAGCTTTTGAGCGTTTATTCACCGATTGCCTTTTTCATACTATACCACAAATACATGTATTTATACTCTATTTCTCCGTACTAATCATGCATTTATTTGTTTTCTTCCCATTGTCTTTGCGTGACTACAAGGAATTTTCCATTCTCATGTTGCAAAACACCATGCAACACTTCCTATATTCATTGGACCATATCCATCCTTAGTTTGCATGTGTTTTTCACGTGTCAGAAACTTGCGAATCTATTGAAAAATTAACCAATCAAATCGAAGTTTATGTGACTTTGACATGTTCCGTCTTTTCCTATTACAAGAACAATTTCTGCACTTGTTGACTGTTATATAAATTTAACTTACACTCAATAACTCCCCATTCTTTTACTTGTTTGATTCCGTTTAAATTATTATCTGCAATTAGTGAAAGTGTAATAAATTTGCTTTACAACATACACCACTTCTTCAAGAGAATTCGCCCTCGAATTCTAAGACATTACAACATACACTTCTTTTGCCTTTTTTTAAAGCGAAGCAAATTCTTAATAACATAAAATCCGTAAATTACCAAAACTAAGGGGCCCGCTGAAGGGCCTAGGAATTTTTGGTACTTTAGAGGGCGAACGTTGCCATTTAGTGCGGTTCAGCTAGTCAAACCTCCAGTTTCAAGAAGGGACTAGAAATCGAAGTGGGGGGGGGGGGGGGAAGGTGTCAGGACCCCCTGCCCACCCCACCCCCCCTCTTAATCCGCCACTGAGGCACTGAGACAGACCAAGACCCTACAGCACGCTGTGCCAGGTACGCTAGCCTTATTCGGGGAGCACTAATCAGGACCTAACTCTCTCCATCAAGCTTAAAATCCCACATCCCTGACCAGCGGATATTATACATTCGATTTTGACTCTGATTGGGATGTGGACCGTACGACCCCTACGACACCCTTAAAACACCCCACTGGACATGATGAGTCGGAAACTATTGATTTCGAGGTTACTTCGTGGAATTCTACCCCAACCAACGCCGAAATTCGACCAGACGGCATGTATGATAAAGAACTGCCGGGCATGTAATAAAAACGATTATTTTAAAAAGATCAAGGTAATTTTCATTTGTATTTCTGCGTTTTATCCTTCGTCCTTGTAAAGTCTTATTGTTATGTTGTATCTGTACTTCATCTGAAATATTCTCTTCAGGTTCCCAGGTAGGATTCCTATAACCCTTCCATTTAACCTTCTGATGACGTTTAACCCTCAAGAGACCAAGCTACACTATAGCTAATAAGTCCCCGGTCACTTTAATAGCACACGCTGTCTACATCAGACGCGCTAATGCGCACGTCCCCGACAGTGTTAATGATAGGGGGATTACGATGGACAGCGCATGCTGCTCACAGCAGTAGGCACTGCCGCCGAAGTTAAACCGGTAATTAAGTCTTTAACTTTACTAAACATGTTTTGCTTTGTAACTTGCGTCCTTCAGTCTTGCTGTTGCGGAAGCGCCGGCGGGACATATCTCCACCTTGCCGATATTTATCCCGACTCTCGACTTTAAAAGTATTATTGGTTTTGATTTTATCAAAGTCTTATTATATCAGAAAACCTGCATATTTTCATACGTTAGAATTATAGAAACTGTAGAAAAAGCTACTCGTACATCAGGGATAAAAAACAACACCTTGCAGCACTATTACCTATTATTCATCACCAGAAGTTACTGTTTCACTTTTTTCTCCCAAATTACAAAGTCTGATGACAACTGAAAGCCTTAAGCCATACCTCAGGGCAGTGGGAGATAGTCTGGATTTGATTAAATGTAATAAAAGTATATTTTGAAGAATTTTCCTAGCCTTCGGCAATTTCCGCAAAGCTTCGGCATGCGCGGCAACACAGAGCTGTCGATATCTGTATACGTGAACAACAGAATTGGTGGAACAACGGTTAACGTCGTTGGGTCGTCTGCAACCTACCCGACGGGAGTTCGTGTCCCTGTTGGTACTTTTGAAGATTTTGAAATTGTCATTATTATAAATATCTATTAATATATAAAACAGTCGTGGCTAATTGTTTTTGCAACGGAAAGCACAGTAGGGAGGTGTGTTGTTATTGTTAAAGTTATTATTACTGGGGACATAAATTAGTATGCTAATCTCTTATCATGGTATAATGATTGATACGATGGGTATCAAATAGTTTTCCTTTGATATAAACAACAAAAGAGCGACATTCCAAATATCTTTGCTGAATGTTTATAACGTAGGTACTATTATGCGCAAAAATATTGATACATGACGCAAACGACATTTACTAATTTTGGTAATATCAATTTTAATTAAAATTTAATTTAATTGAAATTAAAATTAAAATTTGTCTAAACGTGCATATTACCATTCACCTTGTTTAAAGGGTTCGCAACACTTTACATTCTAATACNCCTTTAAGTCATGTTGAGTACAAACAAATTGACATGTTGATGTGTTTTTTAGTGCAAAGACAGCGAACTTTTATTATAGCAATGAGTTTTGTCAATGCTAGGTTTACAAGTTAGTTTATACCTTATGTCATTTGCTGCATATTTTTGTTTCTAAAGTAACATTGTTTTTATGCGTTATGTCCGAATGAAACACTCCTCTGCGATTTCAATTCCATAGCAGCCTACATAAATCTTTCCTCGTTTATAACGTAAGTTGTTTGGTTAGAAACGACATAAATCATCAAATCATAGTACAGGGTCGTGCCGAGAACCGATCCAAGAGAAGGGGAAAATTAGTTACTTTATAAACTGATAACAGTATCGGGAAATTATGTGTTTACCAAACATATAGTTAGCAATAATACATGGAAAACAACCGAAGAGAAGCATTTGCGACAGTTTTATTTGCATGACGTAGAATGACTTGTTTACAAGACAGCTAACCACTCCCTTATCACACCAAATGAGTACATACGAATATTAAGATATGTAATTGTAATCTGAATATTTAATAAGATAGATCAATTAAGTAAAATATTAAATAACAGAAATGGTGCACAACGAGGTGCCTTTGGAATCTAGCAAGCTTACTTGTCATTAAATCAATTAACCAACCCCCTTGCATTATTAGAATTTAAAAAGTGATTTAAGGCATACTGCATCGAAATCAAGCTTTCCTAGCAAACTAAATGTTTCCCTTTAATATAAAATATTAAAACATAATTAATACATATAATTATAATATTTTTTCACCCCACTAGAATATTATATAAAGGAAACTGAAATGAGTACATAATGACCTTCAATACAAGTAAGATAAATTTAAGTTTTAAATTAATTTGAGAAGTGAATGATGTTTTATGAAATAAGTAAATAAGCAAGCTGCGACAGTTTTTTTTCAATCTGCTAACTAATATTCAGTGGGAATAATATACAACTGCATATTAAAACGCAGTCGAAAAATCTCTCCATAACTCCGCTTTATCCAGCATTTTTGAAGTCCTGGCGTTTCTCTGTAAATATAAAGCAAAACGTTTGATAAATACTCAAGCTTGGATTCCAAATACAATACATGTATAGCATAAAAAGAGACGAACGATTCCAAGATATAAGATATAAGAATTTCTTTGTAAAAATGCAAATTTATGAAGTACTAGATTCAAGAAGTGTTGATCGAAGTTCACAATCATTAGTTAAACTGACCATTTTGCTTCTTACAGTAAACCTCTATTTCCATAAACACTTACCATTTAATACAATTCATCGCAACACATGTAGTTTATCATTACTTGGCAGGGGCAGCCGGAAGGGGCAGGGATTGTCACGTGACAAACCGGACGTGATTGGTCGGTACATACGTCGGTCACGGCAGCCTGCACTGCAGCAACATAGGTCTCATCTGGAATGTTTCCATTAGAAAAACATAAATAAAACAATATCTTCCGCATGGTCCTTTTTTAGGGTAAGGAATGCATAGTGGATATGTATCTTAAAATGCAAAAATAATTATGATGAAAAAAAATTTAATAACATGTCAAAAATATACGTTATTTAAAAAACTGTATAATATGATGAGTACCTACGCAGGATTCATGTTGGTTTTTATATGCAACGTAATGAAAAAAGATATCCATGTATTTGGGGTCTTTATTTCCAAAGTTATGACAATTTGATATTTCAGTCGAAGTCCATATTGGCCACTTTATTAGTGTCTTTATAATTACCAAACAGCAAATAAATATTTCCAACATAACTCCATACTTTAATTCTACTGTTATGCTTAAAATTGTTGTGCCCAGTATCTATTAAGTCACTTCTATACCTTTAAAAGTTTGTTAGTTCAGTCTATTTATTGATTTGATTGATATATTATTCTTGTCTTCTTTTAATCGGGATATCAATAATGATCCTTGTGACACCCTCTTTTTAGTTTTTTATGTATTTTGGATTTGGGCAGCTTCCTGATATTTAAGCAGAAATACAAGTAGTACGTGCACATCAAAATAGTGATTTTTATCATTTTTATTAGTTTATTTATTTTGTTTTCAATGTGAGATTTGGTTTAAATTTAGATAACACAGGCATTTTGCCATTGATTCCACTATATATTGCTGATTCCATTTCACATGGTTTCAGTTTTAAAGAGAGAGAAAGAGAGGTTTCTTAGCTCGTGCAGTGGACGTACTTTGGCGGAGGTCTGCCCTCTGAGTGCTAGCAAGTAAGGAACTAAACAAATCCTAATATAATATTTTTCATTTTGCTTCAAGTCTGTATACATTACTTTTTTATTTTATACCATAATAGGAAATCCATTATATAGGAAAAAAGTATCGGCTTACCATAGTTTTGGATACTTTCAATCAGCACAATCCCACATCTAAAGGTGACATACTTGTCATTTGTGTTAGCTCCCTGGAAATTCACGCTAATATTATGAAGCCTATTTCCTAGAAATAACAATGAAAGTCACATTGTGAATACAAGTTGTTTTGAAAAAAAAAAGGATCATCTTAAAATCATGCCACATTTTCGGTTTTAATATAGAACATGCCAGCACATTCAGCTTTACACCTTATATAGCAAAAATAAATTATGATATGTAAAGCTAGATTTAAGTAATACGCTTGTTTGTATCAATCCTGTAATTGAGTTAAATACTGTCCAACTTTACTGCAAATTGTAACAACAGAAAAAATACGGGATTGTGAATCTACTGTGTGCAGGTATATTGTGTATATGGGCCTGCAACAGAATCCGTTATCAGACAAAAACTATTTTTGTCATGCTATATCCGAAGGTTACAATAGGATACTAACCTCTGTCGTGTTGGAATGAACCCGGTGATCCACCACTTGTTGTACAACACGGCTTTTGGGTGCAGTTTTCATATTCTTCCGGAAGTTGGCCACAGTCATCACCAGGACAATCTGGGTCGGGATATATACACTCCTTGGTACGTGACCGAGTCACTGTTCCTGGCAGTCCACAGGTAGCAGAACAAGAAGACCACGGTAACCAATCGCTCAGATAACCATCCACTGGAACATAAGTATTAAAATGTCATCGCCGCCCTCAAAAGGATATAATGTTCCTATTGATATGTTCCGAATATTAGCTTATCACTTGTTTATGATGACGTAAGTTTGTTTGTTCGAAACATAACGCAAAACTTTTTGGACGAACCTTGATGATATTTGCAGGATAGACCACATATGGACCAAAGAACAAATGAGTAGATTCTTTTGGGGGTGATATGGATAAAAACCAAAACGGGCCCTGCGTCGAAACTTCACATGTTGTAATATTCACACCTAAATATATATGAATTGTTTACGTCATGCACATTGTTGGGAAGTAACAACCTGGTCTCTTGCATCACACGTCGCCTGACATGACTATATTGAAGTGTGCAGTCTTGTGGGGTACATGGTTTAGGCTATGTCTATAAAGCATTTCAGAAAGAGAGAGAGAGAGAGAGAGAGAGAGAGAGATGTATATATTTACCTGGGCAACAGGGGCCACTACAAGACTGTGTCTCGGTTGTCGCACCCACACAGGTGGCGCCACCGTGAGCGGGTTCAGGACATTGGCACTCCCTAGAGCGTGTCTGGGTGCCGTTTTCACAAGTCACTGAGCAATCACTCCAATCGCTGTACGTGCACCATCCACCGTCAACTGGAGGGCAATATAAGTACATAATGGAATGTTGTTTTTTGGAAACTAGGCCGAGACAAGCACACACAAGGGTCAAAACCTCTCCGATAAAAATGAGTTTTGAATACTTTTTGGTTGATCAGAAGGTATTAAAAAATGACTGGGTTACGTATGAATTATAAGTGAACCTTTTTGGAATGTCCTATAACGCTAAAAAGAAGAGGAAGATAGGAAAAAAGAGGAAAAAAGAATCAAAATCTGGCAGTGAAGAAGAAAGCCTGAGCAGTTGTAACAAAATAGCGGCGATGAGCAATTCTCAAAGCAGTGAGGATTTCACGCTTGCACAGCTTTGTTCAACGCCTGCGGCGCCCAATAAGGTTATGAATAACAACGATACGTTCCGTGTGACGCCGGCAAACCCTCAAACAAAAACGATAAGTACTCAACAAGCAGTCCATAACTCAAAGATTGAAGACATAGCACAAACTTTAGAAAAAATGTGCCAAAAACTTGAGAAATTAGACGTTATTGAAAGCAAATTTAACGTTTTTGAATTACGGATTCATAAGGTCACAACTGAAGTAGAAGATCTAAGACAACACGTAAATGAACTAGAGAAAAGTGTGAAATTTGCGTGTGACAAACTGGACGAGAATGACTTGAATAACGATGAAACAAACACAGTTTTAAAAGAGATACAAATAAATGAAGTAGAGCTGCAAAAAGAAAATGTACAACTCAGATCTGACATAGTGAATATGACTGAAAAACTGAATGAGTTATGTGATCGCCACGTGATGTTACAGGCGAGGTCGATGCGGGACAATTAAGTTTTCACCGGAATTAAGGAGGAAAACAACGAATTACCGGAAAATGTATTACAGAATTTCCTCAAAAAAGAGATGCGGTTTGACGAGGGCATAAACTTTGATCGAGTGCACAGGATAGGAAAGAGAATAAACGGTAGACATCGACCGATAGTAGCAAAATTGTCATCCTTCCGAGATCGGGAGATGGTGAGGAAAGCCGCGCCGCGCACTTTAGTTGGCAAACCATTTGGAGAAAACGAACAATTTCTGAAGGAGATCAATGAAAAGAGAAAGCTTTTGATGCCCCATTTGAAAGCAGCAAAAAGGGATGGAAAGAAGGCTGTTTTGGTGATGGATAAACTATTTATTGACGATCGTGAGTTTATCCCACCCGACATGCATCAGAGCACGGCACGTGGAACAAATACTACTCAGCAAGATGTGATTCATGCCACGGGTCAACAACGCGCTCGCAGCCTGTCAGATCGTGCCGAGAGAGGAAGACGAGGGAGACCCCGCTAGTCGATGTTGCAGTATACTCGTCATATGGAATATTAATATAGCTAACAACTTGAAATGGTAGAAATTATCAGCGTAAACTGTCAAGGTATGGGGAGTTTTGAGAAGAGAAAAGATGTCTTTCAATATTTACGAAATTTGAAATGTAATATCCTTTGTTTACAGGATACACATTTTACTTATGAAATAGAAGCTCAGATAAGGAATGAATGGGGTTACGAAGCTTATTTCAGTTCTTATACTTCAAACGCCCGAGGCGTAGCAATTCTACTACAAAGTAACATAAATTTTAAATTGCTACAGGAATTCAAGGACGAATCCGGGAATATACTTATTCTGAAATTTGACGTTGATGATAAAATTGTAACAGTTGCAAATAGCTATGGTCCTAACACTGATAACCCCGCATTCTTTGAAAATCTTTTTAAAAAGATCGATGAAATGGACAGTGAATTTCAAATAATTTGTGGAGATTTTAACCTGGTTTTGAATCCAGATACTGATTACTATGATTATTCACGGATAAATAACCCAAAGGCAAGATTAAGTGTTTTAAATATGATAAAAGAAAATGGCTATGTAGACCCATATAGAGAACTATATGGGAATGTGTCTATTTCACTTGGCGAAAAAGAAATCCAGTTAAACAAGCCAGGCTGGATTTCTTTCTCACCTCAGATAATTTAGTTCCAAATCTGGTCTCAGTTAGCACCCTAGTTGGTTATAGATCAGATCACTCACCAATTAAACTTCAAGTAAAATTTGACAGTTTTAAGCGAGGAAGAGGACTTTGGAAATTTAATAATTCCCTCCTATATGACGTGACCTATGTCGAAAAAATTAATGAATCCATACGAGATTTTAAAAAAGAATATTGCATTCCTATATATAATCTTGAAAATGTTGACAACATTCCTGACCAGGAATTGCAGTTCATGGTGAATGATCAGATGTTTCTAGAACTTTTGCTTTTACGTTTAAGAGGAACGACTATTTCGTATGCATGTTTTAAAAAGAAAAAAATACAAGAGGTAGAAAAAGGGCTTATGAAAGAAATAGAACAATTAACAGAAGATTATGAAAATTGTGATGCCCGTCTTCAACTAGAATTAGAAAGGAAAAAACAACAGTTAGTTGAGATGAGAAGTGCAAGGTTAAAAGGTAGTATTATTAGATCACGCGTGAAATGGTTAACTGAGGGAGAAGAACCCACAAAATATTTGTTTAGCCTTGAAAAAAGAAGATTTACAGAAAAAATTATTCCCCGACTACAGATTGGTGAAAATGATTATATTACAAAAAAGTTTTACGAAAAATTGTACTCAGAAAATAAACAGTGTGCTAATATTGATTGGCAAACAAATTTAAAAGATTTTAACGTACCAAAACTGACTACAGATGAGAGGGAAAGTCTAGAAGGTCCAATAACTAATGTTGAAGCCAAGACATTCCTCACAAAAATGAGAAGTGATAAAAGTCCAGGTTCGGACGGATTTACTGTGGAATTCTTAAAGTTTTTTTGGGCGAAAGTAGGGACCTTTGTCATACGATCTTTAAATTATGGTCTTACACATGGGCAGCTCTCTGTCACCCAAAGGGAGGGAATCATAACATGCATTCCGAAGGAGGATAGACCAAAACAATTTTTAAAAAATTGGCGCCCTATTACACTATTGAATACCGTTTACAAGATTGCCTCAGGTGTCGTATCAAGTAGAATAAAAACGGTATTGGATAAACTGATAAGTAAAGAACAGACTGGTTTCTTAAAAGGGAGATACATAGGGGAAATACTCGTTTAATCTATGATCTCATGCAATATACTGAGGAAAACCATATACCTGGAATATTACTTCTAATAGATTTTGAGAAACCATTCGATAGTATATCTTGGAACTTTCTAAATCAAGTTCTTATCTTCTTTAATTTTGGCCCAGATATAATGAATTACATTAAAACCTTTTATAAAAACATTACTTCAAGAGTAAATCAAGGCGGTCATTTATCCGAAATGTTTCAACCACAGCGTGGCCTGAGACAAGGTGATCCGATATCACCATATTTATTTTTGTTATGTTCTGAAATTCTTTCAGTAAGCATAAATAACAACTAAAGAACAATTAAAGGAATACAAATTGGGGAAAATGAATACAAGATATCGCAATATGCAGATGATACGTCCTTAATCTTAGATGGTTCTGAACAGTCCCTACAGGATCTAAGATGGTTTGAAAAAATTTCGAGTTTAAAAATAAATTATGACAAGACTCAGGTTATTTGGATAGGGAGTAAAAAGAATTCAAATGAGAAACTGTGCGAAAATTGGACATTAATATGGGGTGCAACGTCTTTTAAATTATTAGGTATTAAATTCTATGTTGAACTAGATACTATAAGTGAAAGGAATTATCGGGGAAAAATTGAAAGTACTGAACGATTACTTAATTTATGGGAAAGACGAATTTTGACCCCCGTCGGCAGAATTACAGTGATAAAAAGTCTCATAATATCGAAATTTAATCATCTTTTTATTTCACTGCCTAACCCATCTAACCAAATAATTAAGGAGCTAAAAAAGCTAATCTTTGGATTCCTTTGGAAAGGTAAACCGGATAAAGTAAAAAGGGAAATAGTATGTAAAAAAAATAAAAGATGGAGGACTAAATATGATAAATGTAGAAGCTTCAATAATGGCATAAAAAAATTAACTAGGGTGAGACGGTTGATAAATACGGAGGGTATTTGGCAAAATATCATTTTGCATAGATATAAATTAGACTTGATGCTAAACTGTGGTTGTGAATATTTGCGCTTCTGTCAAACAGGCACACAGAATTTATTTTGGAAGGATGTTTTTTTAGCTTGGCGGGAATTGTTGAAAAAAAAAAGAACAAATGACTTAATTGAATAGAGTCCCGTTATGGTACAATGACTCTTTGAGGATAAATAAAGAGACGCTGTTCCATAAAGAGATGTATGACAAAGGATATAGACAAGTGAACGATCTTATCAATGAAAAAGGTAGACTATATTCATATAAGGAATTTTCTGAACTCGCCAATATCAAAATCAATTTTTTACAATACAATGGTATTATCGCAACAATAAAAGATCTATACAGAAAAAATGAAAATCCGCATAAAATCAAAAGGTACGGTCCGTGGCAACCAGAAAGTATACGAGTTATTGTTAGACAAACAAGGGGCTCAAAAGATATGTACGACATATTAAATAGCTCGAATACTAGGCTTACTTTTGAGGAAAAATGGTCAAATATTCTTACTCCTCGGGATCATAATTTT